GAACACTGTAAAGGACTAAAGTCACTTAATGTTGGGCAGTGTCACAGGGTAAGTATCAGTGTGGGACAGTGTCACAGGGTAAGTGTCAGTGTGGGACAGTGCCATAGGGTAAGTGTCAGTGTGGGACAGTGTCACAGGGTAAGTGTCAGTGTGGTACAGTGTCACAGGATAAGTGTCAGTGTGGGACAGTGGCTCAGGGTAAGTGTCAGTGTGGGACAGTGTCTCAGGGTAAGTATCAGTGTGGGACAGTGCCATAGGGTAAGTGTCAGTGTGGGACAGTGTCTCAGGGTAAGTGTCAGTGTGGGACAGTGTCACAGGGAAAGTGTCAGTGTGGGACAGTGTCACAGAGTAAGTGTCAGTGTGGGACAGTGTCACAGGGTGTCAGTGTGGGACAGTGTCACAGGGTAAGTGTCAGTGTGGGACAGTGTCACAGGGTAAGTGTCGGTGTGGGACAGTGTCACAGGGTAAGTGTCAGTGTGGGGAAGTGTTACAGGGAATATGTCATTGTGGGTGAATATCTAGGGAATATGTAAGTGTGGGACAGTGTTGCATGGTAAGTTTTAGGGTGGGGCATTGTCATGGTAAATCAGAACCAAATGTTATTTATGGGGTAAATGTTATTTTGTCAATGTGGAAAACTATCATAGGGTGTGAGTCAGTGTACCAGAGTGAGATAAGTTGGGGAAACTTTTATAGGGTGTTTCCCTGTTTGGAACTATCCTCCAGTTGTTCAAAAACTCATTTTTCATCTATCTGATAAGTTGTCTGTGAAGTTTTTTTTAGGTTGTGTTTTGCAAATAATATAAACCATAAATGGCTTTATAATTATTTTCCAGCTGTCAGATGCCTGCATTGTTCAACTGTCTGTGAGTTTGTCCCAGATCAGAACCTTGGATCTCAGGGGGTTAAAACAGGTGATTTGTCTAATATATTTACAACAATAACATGAATATAAGCAAATTTCTCCAGTAAAATTAAATAATTTAAAATTTCTAACTTCCCAATACAAGGTCCTTCATATTCATACTTAATATATTCATACATACATCATAATAATAATAATAATAATAATAATAATAATAATAATAATAATAATAATAATTTCAGTCTTAATAATAAATATAAATTTTTGCACAAGTTTGGTAATAATTCTTTGCATCAAAAAGTTGTCAAAACATCTTTGTCTCAATCATTTTCTTCTGTTCACCTCTCTATGAAATCCAGCTGATGTTACTTTTTTCAACTCTGCATTTGAAATTTGTTTGTAGATAAAAGACAACTGCATTAGGAAGATAGTAAGGAAGTGTCCACATCTGAAGACCCTTGTACTGGCCAACTGTCTCAGAATCACTGATGTGGCTTTGATTGAGGTCTCTACATATGCACCCAATGTCAAGTAGGTTGATATTAGTGTTTGTAAAAGATATGTATATATTTACATATTAATGTTTTGAAATTATTAATCCATCCTTCCTTTTCCTTCAGACATTTTCAATATTTTTTCTTTCTGATTTAAGATAACTTAAATGATAATAAATTATTCCACTTTGATATAATTTTGAAGACAATTCACACACACAAACAGCATTCCATCTTTTCTTTGAGTTTAAAAGATCTTTTTCAAAAGTAAAAGAGAATTAGTTGTACTAGTATATCCATTTAATTACACAGATGGTTAGATGCTAGTGGTTGTAGGAACATCTCCAACCAAGCCATAGGTGCTGTCAGTAAGAACTGTAGAGGTCTGGAACACCTGGATGTCAGCTCTACAGGAATCACACATCTTAGGTAATAATAAATTCATAGAGACCAATACTTAACTAGTGAGATTGTAACTTCATGAGGTGTCTGCATGCACAAAGTTCATGCTGCCATTTTGTTAGGTTATCAAAAAATAATATGTTTCAATTTGAAGTTGTGCCATTGATTTTATTGATCATTTTGTAAAGTTCTGGTCTGTTATTCATTGAAAATTATTTCAGTGTGATCATGTTGGCCAACAACAGCAATGAGACCCTACAAACGCTAAAAATTAGCTTCTGCCAAGACATCACGGAGTCTAGCATTGTCAAGCTGGTTAGGAACTGTAGGAGGTAAGAATGTGACTGAACAATATATTTTTGAATATAATTAAATATACTTAAAAGTTATCTGTCACAAATATTGACTTGCTGTGATTGTTATAATTCAGTAC